AGGCTGATGCTCTTGTTAGGGACTACTGCAGCTGGGGACTTTAAGCTGAAGCCAACGCTCATTTATCATGCCAAAAATTCTAGGGCTCTTAAGAATTGTGCTAAATCTAGTCTGCCTGTATTTTATAAATAGAACAACAATGCCTGGATGATGGCACATTTGTTCACAGCATGGTTTACTGAACATTTTAAGTCCACTGTTGAGACCTACAGTTCAGAAAAAAACAAGACTCCTTTCAAAATATTGCTCATCAATAGTGCACCTGCTCATCTAAAACCTCTGATGAAGATGCACAAGCAGATTATGTGATTTTCATTCTTGCTAATACATCCATTCCGCAGCCCATGGATTAGGAGTAATTTTATCTTTCAAGTCTTATTATTTAAGAAATACATTTTATAAGGCTATAGCTGCCATAGATAGTGATTCCACTGACGGATCTGGGAAAAGTAAAATAAAAACCTTCTAGATGCCGGGTACAGTGGCTCACACCTGTAATCTCAGCATTTTAGGAGGCCAAGGTGAGTGGATCACCTGAGGTCAGGAGTTCATGACCAGCCTGGCCACCATGGTGAAAGCCTGTCTCTACTAAAAATACAAAAATTAGCCAGGTATGGTGGTGGCGCCTATAATCCCAGCTACTCAGGAGACTGAGGCAGGAGAATCACGAGAACCCAGGAGATGAAGGTTGCAATGAGCTGAGATTGCTGTATTGCACTCCAGCCTGGGTGACAGAGCAAGACTCCATCTCAAAAAAAAAAAAAAGAACCTTCTGGAAAGGATTCACCATTTTGGATGCCATTAAGAACATTCATTATTCATGGAAGGAGGTCAAGATATCAACATTAACAGTAGTTTGGAAGAAGCTGATTCCAACCCTCATGGATGACTTTGAGGGGTTCAAGATTTCAATGGAGGAAGTAACTGCAGATGTGGTGGAAATAGCAAGAGAACTAGAATTAAAAGTGGAGCCTGAAGTGGAAAGTGAATTGCCGCAATTTCATGATAAAACTTAAATAGACAAAGAGTTGATTCTTATGGATGAGCAAGAAAAGTGGTTTCTCGAGATGGAATCTACTCCAGGTAAAGAGGCCTTGAACATTGCTGAATTGACAACAAACATTTTAGAACATTACATAAACTTAGTTGACAAAGCAGTGGCAGGGTTTGAAAGCATTTACCCTAATTTTGAAAGAAGTTCTACTAGGCTATCAAACAGCATCACATGCTACAGAGAAATATTTTGTGAAAGAAAGACTCGATCTATGTAAAAACTGCACTGTTGTCTTATTTTTAAAAATTGTCAGAGTCAGCCACCTTGATCATCAGCAGCCATCAACATCACAGTAAGACCCTCCACCAGCAAAGAGCATGGTTCGCTGCAGGCTCACATGATCATTAGCATTTGTTAGCATTAAAATATTTCTAAATGAATGTATGTACATTGTCTTTTAAGACATAATTCCATCACACACTTAATAGACTTAGTATGGTATAAAACATAACTTTTCTATGTACTGAGAAACCCCAAAATTTGTGTGCTTCCCTTTAGGTTCTTTATCATGGTGGTCTGGAACCAAACTCACAATATCTCTGAAGGATGCCTGTACTTACCTGAAACAAGTTTTACAAAACAACGCTAAAACGCTTACCATACGCAATGTGTTCCAATATATCCCAGTCTAGGCTAGTCTATTTCATTTTTTTAATGCTGATCACAACCCATTAAAATGATGCTACCAACCACCAATGGGTCATGACGACGAATTTAAAAACACAAATGTATTCTAACCTCTTGGTTCCACAGCTGAGAAAGCTAAGACAGAGAGAGGTTAAATCCAAGGTCAAAAGGCTACTTTCTGGCAGAATCAGGACTAGTTTAGACCCAGGTAAATGATGACTGTTGTTATCAGTCTAATAACTGGGACTCTCCTCAACGAATGCCTCCTCTATGAATCCTGGTCAGAATTCACTTCTATCCATGACCCCTGCGGCTGACGTTGTTCAGGTTGCCGTTGCTTCTTGGTTTTTGTTTTGTTGTTTAGTTTTGTTTTGTTTTTTAACACCCCCAGGCCTGCTGCCCTGATATCCCTGTGAACCTGGAGGCATGGTCCCAGGCTAAATGGTCCATTTTCTGCATCACCAAACTGACCGCTCTGTTCATATCCTCTACTGCTTCCCTGCCATGAACCACAGCATCCCTCAAGGTGGGCCAAGGAACTACCAGCCTTGAGGAAGTGATGAGCTTGATAACTCAGCCAGAAGAAACCTGAAGGGCAAAGCTTAACTCCACCAGAGTCCTGATATACAAACTCCAAGAAGCACTAAAGATGGCCAAGTCAATTTGGAAGACCCTGAAGAAGTGGGCCATTCAGCCCTACCTAGGCAGAATAAATCCTTCAGGGGTCAAGGAAAAAGATCACATTTAAAAACCAAAGGGCTTCCTCTCTCACTTGGCCACCATCTTGCAAATTAAAAGATGATGCGAGGCCAGGCACAGTGGCTCACACCTATAATCCTAGCACTGTGGGAGGCTGAGGTGGGTGGATCACCTGATGTCAGGAGTTCAAGACCAGCCTGGCCAACATGATGAAACCCTGTCTCTACTAAAAAAAAAATACAAAAAATTAGCCGGGCATAGTGGAACATGCCTGCAATCCCAGTTACTCAGGAGGCTGAGACAGGAGGATCGCTTGAACCGGGGAGGCGGAGGTTACGGCAAGCCGAGACTGCACCATTGTACTCCAGCCTGGGGCAACAAGAGTGATACTCTGTCTTGAAAAACAAAACAAACAAAAAAAGATGATGTGTCTGGAGAGTTGGCTTTCTGATCAAGTTTCGCCTTACCAGGTGGTGCATACTGGGAAGGGTACAGAGTGTGGACACACCGTAGCAAGCAGACCCCAAATGCCTGTTCCACCTTCCACCTTAGCAACCTGCCTCCCAGCCTTCCTGTAACTCTCCCCCATGTCTTCACTTTGAGGTTTGAGCAAGCTCCAATCTCTGTGGCTCTCACAAAACCACACAAATCAAACCCAACTCCAATCAGAAAAGCAACTATCCTCTGCGTCACCCTCAGAGGTCTCAAACATGCATTCTATCGCTCCAAGCTAGGTTCCACACAGCAGCTTGAATAGGAGTGTTGTAAAATCACATGTTCTACGTCCATCACTTTATGGCACTCCCAATGCGTCAGAAAAGAGAACCACACTCTACACCACAGCTTCAGACAGGGCTTGGTAAACACGGTTCATGGGACAAATTGGGCCAGATGCCTGTTTTTATAAATAAAGTTTTATTGGAACACTGTCATGCCCATTTGTTTACCTATTATCTGTGCTGTTTTTATATTGCCTGATAGAGTTGAGTTCAACCGCAACAGAGACCAAATAGTAGGCAAAGCCTGAAAGTATTTACTATTTGCCCTTGTACAGAAAAAGTGTGCCAACCCCTGGCTTACAGAACCCTGCTTTGTTTAATGGCGATAAAATACACATAACATAAAATTTACCATCTTAACCATTTGTAAGTGTACAGTATTAAGTTCAGTGGCAGTAAGGACACTGGCATTGTTGTACAATCATCACCACCATCCATCTCCAGAATGTTTCATCTTCCCAAACTAAAAGTCTATACCCGATAAATAATAACTCCCCATTCTCCCTCCCCTCAGCCCGGGATTCCACTGAGCTACTTTCTGCCTCTATGAATCTGTCTACTCTAGATATCTCATATCAGTGGAATTATACAGTGTTTATTTTCATGTGTCTGGCATATTTAACTTAGCATGCTGTCTTCAAGGTTCACTCATGTTGTAGCATAGATCAGAAGCTCCTCCCAGGTTGGGCATGGTGGCTCATGGCTGTAATCCCAGCACTTAGGGAGGCCAAGGCAGGCAGATCACTTGAGGTCAGGAGTTTGAGACCAGCCTGGTCAATATGGTGAAACCCCATCTGTACTAAAAGTACAAACAATTAGCCAGGCATGGTGGCACAGGCTTGTAGTCCCAGCTACTCAGGAGGAGAGGCAGGATAATAGCTTGAATCTGGGAGGCAGAGGTTGCAGTGAGCCAAGATCACACCACTGCACTCCAGCCTGGGCGACAGAGCAAGACTCCATCTCAACAAAAAGAGAAGTTCCTTCCTTTTTAAGGCTGAATAATATTGCATTGTATGGGTAGACCACGTTGTGTTTATTCATTTATCTACTGATAGACACAGGTTGTTTCTACTTTTTAGCTACTGTGAATAGCACAGCAACCTTCCTAACCCTACATCACACACCTGCTCCCTCCCCCACACTGTCGATTTCCCCAGTGTGTCCTGCTTCCTTCCGCCTTCGATTGAGATGAGCCGTGGATATAAAATACACATTCAGTTTCAAAGACTTTGTCTTTATTTCAAATGCAAAATATCTCAGTAATGACATTTTACATTGATTCTATGTTAAAATATCATTTTCATATACTGGGTTAAATGACGTATTATGACAATATCACTTGTTCCTTTTCATTCTTTTTAATGTGACTACTAGAAAGTTGAAGGTTAATATATGCCTCGTATCCTATTTCTAGGAGCAGCCCTAGGCTAGACTCTGCAGGGGTTGGCAAACGTTTTCAGTAAAAAGCCAGATGGTAAATATTTTCAGCTCTGTGGGCCATTCTCATTCTGCCATTGTTACACAAAAGAAGCCATAGGCAACACATAAAGAAATGATCATGGGTGTGTTCCAATACATTTCATTTACAAAATCAGGCCGGGTATCAGATTTAGCCCCTAGGCCATAGAGTATTAATCATATTTTTTAAATGGCCAGTTCTGGGAAATTCTGTTCTATTCATTTTCTCAGAACCCTCTGTAAAAAGCCATCCTTCATTCAACCAGAGACTGGAACACAAGTCTGTACCCGGCTTCCCCGACCTGGGCAGCTCCTGGGGCCACGGCGCAGCCCCTCACAGGCCAGGGCTGGACTGCCCCAGGGCACCCACCGAGTGTACTCACTTGGGTGTATGGGCCTCGTCCACGCGGTGCGCCAGCTGGAACTCGTGGGATTTGCTCCGATGCAGCGCGGTGAACCCCGGGATCAAGTGTATCAGCTTTCGGGAGGAGGGTGGCGGGGTCCCTGGAGGCTTCAGCTTGTTCTTCTTCCTCATAGGTGGTGTGCCCGGTGGGGTCACGGTGGTGACGATGTTGGGGGTCCGTGGCGGGGTGCGGACTGCGTGCCGCTGCCGGGGCGATGGGGGCAGGGAACGGTGTCCCGACTCCAGTGGCGGGGGTGGGCACAAGCCTGGGTAGGCGTCCACAGTAAGCCTCTCCACATGGGTGTACACAGGGGCCCCGGGAGTGGGGCTGGTGTGACAATAGTGCTGGACGCACTTGGATGGGACCCTAGGGCTCTGGGAGAGATGGGTGCGGATCCACGGGGTGGACTCTGGGGGACACACGGGATTGTTCTCCTTCCCGGTCTCTGTGGTGGGCCACTGGATGGTCCAGTCTTGTTTGGAAAGGTTGCCTCCTGAGTTGGAACAGAAGAGCAGAGACAATGGGTAAGCCATGAGAAAGCCAGGTGAGTTACACCATATACACCATCACATCATATGCACATTACACCACCTGCCCATAGCATCATATGCATGTTACACTATATGCCTGTTAAATCGTATATATGTTATCTCATATGCAAATTATGTCATATGCACATTACGCCATGTGCCCATCACATCATAGGCCTGCTAATTATATACCTGTTACATCGAATGCATGTTACATCATATGCACATTATATGCATATTACATCATGTGCACATTATATCATATGCATATTACATCATATGCATGTCATATTATATGCACATTACATCATATGCATGTCATATTATATGCACATTACATCATATGCATGCTATTTCATATGCCCATTACATCATATAGACATCCTATCATATGCATGTTAGGATATGTCACGCCCACATTACATCATAAGCAGATTTGCATAAATCCAACCACCCCCACTTGGCCCCTCCAAAAATTGACCCTGTTACCCTATTCCCCATTCAACAGCCTTGCCTTCCTCTGCCCCATCGCTGGGAAGACCCCACAGCCCAAATGCTCAGAAAAGCAAAGAAGTTAATTCTTGCCTTTTGAGCTTCCCAAGATCCAAGTTCCGGAAGTCTCGAAGTGATTTAAAGGACTTTAAAGGACAACTGTTCCCTTACATGGAAATTTTCATACTTAACCCTCATGTGAGATACACAAATTCCAAGGCAGTCAAGTTCATCCTTAGTCCCTCCCTGACCACTTATTGGTCGCCGCATACTTCTTCCAGATCTATGTCGCCATGTTCTCATTCATGAATTTGTCCAGTAAACATTCTGTGAGTGCCAACTATGCCCTTTTGCTTGAGAAAGACACAAAAGCAACACAGACGAGACCCTGGTCTCCTGGACTTACATTCTGCAAAAGCAGAATCATGATAGACAAGAAAGCATGCTCACTAAAGGATTTCACATGGTTATTGGTGCTGGGAAGTAAACAGAATGATCTGATAAAAATATGGGTGACTGGGCACAGAGGCTCACGCCTGTAGTTTCACCAATTTGGGAGGCCGAGATGGGCAGATCACTTGAGGTGAGGAGTTCGAGACCAGCCTGGTTAACATGGTGAAACCCTGTCTCTACTAAAAATACAAAAAAGTAGCCAGGCATGGTGGCATGCACCTGTAATCCCAGCTACTGGGGAGGCTGAGATAGGAGAATTGCTTGAACCCAGAAGGCAGAGATTGCAGTGAGCCAAGACTGCGGCCCTGCACTCCAGCCTGGGCTACAGGCTCTCTCTCTACACACAAACCATGTGCTACACAGCTCAACCAGAAGGCACCAAGTGCCGATACATACAAAAACCTGGACGAATCTCCGGATAATTAGGCTGAGCAAAAAATGCCAACCCCAAAAGGTTACATACCGTATGACTCCATTTATACATATTTTTGAAATGACAATATTTTTGAAACAAAGGATAGACTGACGGTTGCCAGGGGTCAGGGATGGCAGAAAAGGGAGTAGGAGGAAAGGGGATGTGGTGAGAGAAGAGCAATACGAGGGAACCCTGGAGTGCTGGAACTCTCCAGCATCTTGACGGCGGTAAATACATGAACCTACACAGGTAATCAGATCACAGAGAAGTAGACCCATTGTGGTGGCTCGTGACTGTAATCCCAGCACTTTGGGATCAAATAATACCAAAAGTACAAGACAGTAAGATCACTTGAGCCCAGGAGTTCAAGAGCAGCCTGGGTGACACAGTAAGACCTTCTCTGCACAGGAAGTAAAAAAATCAGCCAGGCATGGTGATGCACTCTGTAGTCTCAGCTACTTGGGAGGCTAAGGTGGGAGGATCACTTAAGCCGCAGTTGGTTGTGCCACTGCACTCCAGCCTGGATGACGGAGTGAGACCTTGCCTCAAAAAGAAAAATACATAGAACTAAATGCACCCACAGACACACACACACACACACACACACACGTGTGAAAATAAAGCTGGGTAAATCCAAACAAGATTGGTGGATTGTAACATCAATATCCTGTGATCCTGTATTTGGTGATCCTGTACTATGTTTTCAAAATGTTACCATTGGGAAGAACCGGGCAAAGTGTAGAAGGGATGTCTATATTATTTCTTACACCTGCATGTGAATCTACAATTATTTCAATCAAAAATTTCCATTTTAGAAATTAAAAATAAAATACAAGCATACGGGGTGGGGGGGCTACTTTAGTAGAGTGATCAGGGAAAGCCTCCTAAGGAAGTGACATTCATGCTGGCCTGTGAAGGACAGGAAGGGCATCGTCCCACCAAGGACAGAGAACATCAGGCCGGGAAATGATACAGGCTAAGGCCTAGAAGTAGGAAGGGCTTTTTTTTTTAAAGTCTTCTAATAGCTTATTAGAAAGAACAGACATTTTTAAATCCCCACTGTTATGAATTCAAATTGAGGTTTTCAGTCCTGGTATAAACTGAATTAAAAAAAAAAAAAACAGAGAGAAAGAAATTTAAAAATCCAGTGGTAGGCCAGCCATGGTGGCTCTCACACCTGTAATCCCAGCACTTTGGGAGGCTGAAGCAGGTGGATCACCTGAGGTCAGGAGTTCAAGACCAGCCCGACCAGCATGGTGAAATTCCATTGCTACTATAAATACAAAAAATCAGCCGAGTGTGGTGGCATGTGCCTGTAATCCCAGCTACCCAGGAGGCTGAGGCATGAGAATTGCTTGAACCCGGGGTGACAGAGGTTGCAGTGAGCTGAGATCACACCATTGCACTCCAGCCTGGGCGACAAGAACAAAATTCTGTCTCAAAAAAAAAAAAATCAATGGTGTATTAACATTTTTCATTCATTTGCCATATTAACAGTGCAAATACAAATTTGGTCTAAAGATAGACTCTCATGCAACTATGTAAAGCCTTTCTGCATCCTCCATGCTAAGAGCTCTAAATGCATAAAAACCAAACAATACCAAATGGACAGGCTTCAAAACCATCTAAGTTAGGGAAGTCACTTTCCTAGGTCTCTTTCTGGGATGCCTACATGAAAGCGGTGTTCTCAAGTTGTGGTGACAATGGGGTGACACTCAAGGAGAGGCTGAAGGGACAGGTGAGGACAGACTGCCAGATCTGTGGGCTAAGGTACAGACTGGCTTTCATATCAAGTTCAACAGGAAGCCATTGAGAGTTTTGAGGCAGGGGAGGCATTGATTGAAAGTTCATTTCTCAGAGATCACGCAGGCTGCTGCAGGGAACAGTAGAACCCAATTAAGGGATAGCTCAGGGAGCTGCAAGAGATGTTGCGGGCTCTGGCTTGGGTGGTGGCAGCAATGGTGGAGAGAACTCAGCCAGGTGTCAATGAAGACAGACCAGCCAGAACCCAGAGGAAGGCAGCCACGTGGGCACTTCCAACATGGGCCAAGGAAGATTTGGGGCAGAAAGAAATTCCTGGCTGACTAGCAATAACAATAATAATTACTATAACGACCGTAACAAGAGCTAATTTATAGAGCATTTCACTGTTTCCAAAGTGCTTTCACGAAAACTGACTCACTGTCCCGTTTTTAATTAAAACAACTCATTTTGTTATTATACATTCATTACAGAAAAATTAGAAAATTGAGATGAGAAAAAAAGGCAATGCTGCCCTATAGCCTAGCCATCGTCCCTGTCAACATCTGATTCTAGAGCCTTCCAGATGGTTTGAGGTGGATTTTTTTTTTTTGAGGAAAAAAAATGCCATTAAGACCATATTCAATGGTTCATCTGTCTTCCTCGCTTGTTATATTGGGACTGTTTTACATCTAACTTAATTTTTTTAACTCTGTGTGCAAAGGGCCATATTAATTTCTGTTTTATAGGTAAGGAAACTGTTGTAAAGAGATGAAGATGTGCCTAAGGTCACGAGAGAGATGCTAATTGGCAGCCAGATTCAAACCCGAAACTTCAGCCACCTCAGCAAGCAGGGGATGAGGATGTCTGTGGAAGAGAACTGGGGCCTCCAACTGCCATCATAGATCATTCAAATGGGAATAGATACTAAAATAAAGGCTTGTTTTTCAAAAGGATCTCCTTTTACCTCCTCCCAGGCTTGCCAGAACACTCTACCAAAGTCACCATCCTTACAGTATCCACTCTCGAATATTGACACATACACGTTAGCCCAGTGAGTAAGAGAATCAACGCCGGAGTCAGATGACTTGTGCTCCAAATCTGACTCCCTCCCACTTATGGCTGTGTGACCTTGGGCACTCATCTAACTTCTCTGAGTCTTCGCCTTGTCACCTGTGCAATGGGAAAATAATAAAACCTACCTCAGGAACTACTATGAGGATCAAATGCACAAAATGAGTTGTTACAAGTCACGTGCTTAGCACAACTCTCAGCACACAATAGGTGCACCATAAATGCTAGCTATTGGCATGTAATTCTCAACACTGCGGGAATACATCATTATCTGCTCTTTAAAGAGTGTGTAGCGATTCTGACAGCTTTACCGTTCTCACCCTTTGTACAGTGAGGAAGCTGACGTTTAGCTGAAGCTAAATAGCTCTAAGAACTAGGAATAGAACAGAGAATCCAGTTAAGACAAGTTTCTCCATCACCCAATAACACATCAGTAAGCCCTGGATTGATGTATTTGCTCAGGGAATACAAACTCATTGTCAAGTTAGCCTAAGTAAAGCCTGTTTAAGAAAGTAAATCTATTTCCTAAGCTGTCTTGATCAAATACTGCACCACAAAGCCACAAAGTAGTGCTTTAGGCATTAACATCACAAGCTGTTGCCCATCCCGAATGAAATGGAAAGAATATGGGATTGGGAACCAGAAGAATCCAATAGAATTCTGGTTACACCACTGACCAGCTCCATGACCTTGGCCAAATTACTTAACCTGCCTGAGCTTCAGTTTGGGGGCTCATAAAATGGGAACGATTATGGCTTTGTTGGAGGGTACAGTGAAGATCAAGTATTT